AGTAAAAGTTGATTATAAATCTTATGGGGTTTTGGCTATCCATTTCCAGTACAGAGTCTGAAGCATTTAGTGCTGATGTTTCTCTCCTTCAAGTATTACAGGTTTAACCTCTGTTTTTTCTGTATTTGGGAGAACTGCTCACTTTCAAACTCTTGCCACATCTAATATTAGATATCTGTTTACTGCGTCCCCTAGTTGACCCATCCCCCTATTATCAAGGTGAGACACAGTCAAAAAACATTATCTTGCAGTCAGGAGCTGAGAGACAACAATGCTGCCATGAGTGATACCATTAACCAGTTGTCTCTCATACCAAAATCTTCACCATGTTTGGTGGCCACAAATCACATATTGTGTGTCTTACAGACTTAAAGGAAGAGGGAGAACTAGCAGCATTTCACAGTCAGAAAGTAACTTTTCTCAGGGATCTTACTCCAAAGTAGTATGAGGTCATGGGATGGACTTGGACGGCAGCTGTGATCTGGCACCTTCAGCCATGCTGTGACTCCACATTAATCACATCTGCTATTATGAAGGACAGCTGTAACTAGTTAGAGCTCTGGGAAGAACATGTGGATCAACAGGTTTTCTGTTGGTTTGGGTTTTTTTTTTTCAGTAGAAAGACAGCTCTTCTCCGAAGCTGCCACAAAGGGTATTGCAATGACGTGCTGTTTTGGCCCAGAACTGGGGAATTTTTTTAATGCTTATTCTAGTTAACATTATCTCTGACATACTTTTGCTTAAAATCAGTCTGTTGTTACACTCTCCATTAAACCTGCACTTCTAGTTAGTTTAGAAACTTGAGCATGACATGCTTCAAGGTTACTTTTTGTGTCATGGCTTTTGCCATGTACTGCATACTTGTCAGTGAGGTTCCTGTCTCCATTTGAATGTCATTATTTTAAATAACTGAGGGATGATCTAAAGTGACAGATGTAGGGCCACCAAGCATTACCAGTTTGGTAGCGCTGTCCTTTGACCCAGTTGAAGTTCTAGTAGTAGTCTTTGTAGTAGTATACTCTTCTAGTAGCAGTCATGTTTCTGATGAGACACTTTGTATAAAAATCCATTGAAGAACAGAAGTGTGACCTCTTTCTTTCCTATTATTGATTATAATTATAGCAGAGACAGTATGAACAAAAGTAGACTTGAACTGGAAGAGTAATCAGAATGCATTGTTGGTCAGAAGTCTCCATTTCACGTCCCCGAGTTAATCCCAGGTTTCTGCCCATTAATTCTTCCTGAAGCTCTACTGTCTCAAACATGCTAACAAGGTATCCCTTTCAGCTTCTGCAGTCCTGTCTTCCCCAAGGCCTTGAGACACTTGATTTCTTATTCTCACTTTATCACCTGTGTCGTATGAAGCAAGTACTACCCACACTTCTACCTTACTTATCCATCATGCTGCTTTTTTTTTTCCCCCCACTACTGCCAGCTCTCAGAGCCATTCCATGCTTACTCTGACACCTATTCCAGCAAGTTTGTAATGTCCATTCTCTTCCCAATTATTGCCACATTGTACAAAGTTTGTCTCCCTTATGGGGCATGCATGTGTGTTTGCATGTGTGTAAGTTCCACAACTGCTGCTTTATTTTGCTAAACATAACTTACAAGTTATGTTTTGAGCTTTGTGCATCTGTATGCACATCTGCCATTTAGGATAAAGAATGCTTGTTCATGCAGTTCAGATTTCTTTTCATTTTAAGAGATTTGAAAATACAGAGATCAGTGCAGTTAAATCAGTTCAATGGCTACATGGCATTTAATGAAACGTGGCATTGATGATAGATAGACATATTTAGTATGATATAAAGAGATAATGCATCACTTACCACTTTCAGGTGGTTCTGTACGTAGATTACAACTTCTCACTGAAAAATGTGACTATACACTGCTCAGTTGTTTTGTTCACTTTTAGAGCCTCAGTTGCACACTGAATGCGGGAGAGTATTCTGTGGAAAGTACTAGGTCGTTCTTGCATGAAAAAATGAATAGTGCAAAATAATACAGAAAGTAGGAGGAACATCTGAGAATAAATGTGCACAGTTCCAGTATCTGCATAATTAAACATACTGGGGGCAGAGTGAAGGGGAAAGGCTGTTCTTGCTGTAAATACAGTTGACATTTTTCTGTTACATTTTATTTTCTGCCAAGGTTTTATATACTGGAAAATACTTGAGGGAAAATAAATTGAGTATTAGATGTGCCAAAAAAAAGAAATTTTAAGGAATGTGAATGTCATATTGTATGTTTGTTGGCTACTGCCTTATCAGTGTGAGTAGTGTTTGTGAACTGTTTTGCTCTAAGGACAAAATGTGGTTATTCCATATGGATTGGCATGTATATGCTTAAACCCTTTCTATAAACATTTGAATTAAAGGACACCAGATGTTGCACAGAAGCTACTGCTGCTTTCTGAACTTCATGGTATATTCTTTCAAAACCCACAGGAAGTAGCTGAGGGGAAAAAGTGTATTAATTAAGTTCAGAAATAGATTTTCCAGCTATAGAAAAATCTCCAAAGAAAATAGCATTTGATCTTCAGAAATGTGAGCTTGCTGTCCCAGGAATCTGGTGGCAGCATGCAGCACTGTCACATGGGGATCAAAATTCAGATTTTGAGTTTTCAGAGCTAGGCTAGCCTGAAAGTAAACCAGTCCTTGGGAATGGACCTATCTTTTGACCCATCTCCTCTGGACAGTGTTCATAGTTCTGTAGACAGCCTACAGAGAAAACATTTTTCCAGTTTTTTTTTGACCTGAAGAAATAATGTTGTAATAGCAGGGAATTGAGGAGAAAAGAAAGTACTAGAATTCCCAGATGCTCTGCATTTCAGACATGAAATATGAGTGAACATACCCAGAGTATATTTTGTAGGCTCTAGAATTATGGCAAAAGAAATACAAGTGGGATTTGCTTTGCATTGGTTGAGTAACAAGATTTACATTTTGCAAACCAACCACATGTTTGTGCGTTTAGAAGTACTGGCTCTGCTGTACCTACCTGTAGTGTCTTCTGCTCTGTCTCCTTCAGACCAATGCACTGAAAGTGACCCTCTTGCACTAGTAGTTTGCATGAAGTGTCCATCTGTCTTTGTGCAATGAATGCGTAACTGTTTATACTAAGTGGCATAATTCTGCTGGAAGAAAATGTACATACAAACAAGTTAGATTCCCCACTGAGCACTCTTATGTCAAGCAAATCAGATACTTTAAACATGCATTGCTGATGTATTAGGTAATGTTTGTGTCATGGTTTGACCCAAACCAGCAACTGAGCACCCAGCAGCTGCTCACTCACTCCCCCCCCAGGATGGCAATAGCATAAGAGCAAAAGCGAGAAAAACTCATGGCTTGAGATAAATACGATTCAAGAAGTGAAGCAAATCTCTTTGTGCAGGCAAAGGAGAATAAGTATGAGTTTGTTCACTACTTCCCGTCAGCAGGCAGATGTTTAGCCACATCCTGGAAAGCAGGGCTTCATTTCACATAATGGTTTCTTGGGAAGACAAGTGCCATAACCACAAACATTCCCCCTCGCCCCTTCCTTTTCCTTTTCTTGAGCCTTTTTTGCTGAGCACGACTTGAGTGGAGTGAAATATTCTTTTGGACAATTTGGATCAGGTATCTCAGGTGTGTTTCCTTCCCAACCTCTTGCCCATCCCTTGCCTGCTTGTTGGGAGGGCAGCATGAGAAACAGAGAAGGCCTTGATGCTATGCAAGCACTGTTCAGCAACAACTGATGTGTTACCAACTCTAAAATGTTTTAGTCACAAATCCAAAAGCACAGCACTACCTTGGCTGCTATGGAGAAAGTTAACTCCATCCCATGGCAGAGTCAGTACCATCCCCACCCATTATTCCCTGCCTGTAACTTGGGCTCCATCTGTTGTGGTGGTCATTTATGACAGGAGAGGCAGGATGTTGTCCTGAGTCGTTGGGCACCAAAACCAGGTCAGGTTGGGTCACTGGACACTTGCCTGGTTTTTTATGAGGCTCATTATCTGTTGGTTTGGGTGGCTTCTGCTCTAGTACTTCCTGTAGCATATAGCTCAAATCACAGGTGGTAACAATTTAAACGTATATCCATTGTAATGTAAGTACCACAAGGAGAAGGGAGAAAGGCGTGTCTTTTCTCCTTTCTCCCTAAGAATTCCACTGCAGATTTTAAGAAATCTACCTGCTAAATTTGTTTTACAAGCCTATTTCACCCCCTTTTCCTTCCTTCAAAATGAGGAAGACAAAGTTGTCTTGCAAAAATGTCTTAGATGCCTCATTTTGTTCTTCAAGCACAGTGATGACAAGAGCCTGAAAATGAGATAGCTTTTACAATGTGTCCTACCCGTGAATTCTAATATATAAAAGAGGAAGTCAGAAATGGAAGTAATTCCTACTTTTCTCCTTTTTCTTCAAATTAAAGCATGAAGAGCATATTTTTACTTTGAATCAGTCTACAGAGTTCTGGTATTCTACCACATCAAATTCTAAGTTGTTTGTCTTTAAGATCAGCTTAAACTTTGCCTCTCAACCATATTTAATGTATATTCCTTCAATGCCTGCTATGTCATTTTGCCTACTTTTATGGTATCCATATTGCACTTCTTGCCAGCTGCTGAATGCCTTCTACCAATATTATTTGGTGTTCAGGGGGTTCTTTATTCAGGAGGTTCATTGATTTGCTTTGCACATGTAAGAAATAGTGAATGTAAAATCAGCCTGTTAGCTCTCAAGGATGTGTTTGGTATGCTTTTAAAATACAAGTCATGTTATCCCTATCCAAGATCTGAGAAATAGCATATTTACATGTTTTTTCCCTCATTTAGAATGACAGTAATACATGAAAAATAAGAAATATTCAAATATTATAGTGTCATAAAGTTTTCCTCTTGTTCAGTTAAGAGTCCAGAATCATATTAGTATGCATTGTAGCATAACTGATACAGACCTGTGTAAGCATTCACAGTTCTACTGACTTCATGCCTTTGAATTTATTTTGTATAGCCAAATTGTACTGCAACTGAGCGAGCCATTGCAAGACTTGCAACACACCCCATCTTGAAACCCAGATTTGTTGAACTTAAAGGTATGAAATCTTGTATTAACTTGTTTGTGACTTCAGCAGCTGAATGGTGTGTTACCTTGATCCTGTATGTTCCTGACATGAACAACCAGTATAAAAGAGATGTAAAAAACCAAAAAGCTCCTGTGATTACCATAGCTAGCTGCAGTGAACCAAGTGTCACAAGCTTTCAGTCTTTTGTATTGGTTGAAATGTGCTTATGTGTGCCAATATGCTATATGACATTTAAGATACAGGGTGCAGGACAAGCAGGGCCCATAATGGGAACTCTAAAAATCGAATGGATATCATGAAGTATCTCCAAATTAAATAGGACTGAACTGGCAATGAGCACAATAACATGCTACAAAGGTAAAAGGAGCATTACAACTGGCTTTCCAAATGCAGCTAAAGGATTTTGCAAATTACTCCCTTAAACTTCCCTGGAAAGTGTCCCCAGAATCCTTAGAGAATCTTTCCTGGTTCTTTACGTTATCTCCTATTCTCTTTAAACTCAATGTTTCCAACTAAAATTGATGTTAAAAGGGTCAAATCCTAGTAATAATGTCACAAAGTTACTTTATTAATAACAGAGCATGTCAAATAACCATTTAATTATATCTGAACAATTTACTATTTGTTTGCAGTCTTTACAGACAAAATAATTCCCTAAATGAACATGATTACAGCTGCAGATTATTTGCTGAAGGAGAAGTTCACAGTTAATTCAGTTGGTGATAATTTCAAGTTCTGTTCCTGACTTCTGTTGATGCTGTACTCACTCTATTTCTTGCCCTATGTGTTCAGTAAATGATTGATAAAGGCATTCAAATCTGCTTACTCAGTACAATGTATTTAACTTGCAAAAATGTTTTGTTATATTAAAATAACATGTAAACTCATGTATAGCTGTGACAAAAGATTTTTCTTCTGCCCTTTGTGTAGCTGCTGTGAAAGCTTTTAAGGAAGCGAGAAAGAGCACAGCCAAAGCCACTCCTTCGGAAAACTCCAAGTCAGAAGAAAAGCCTAAATCAGTGCAACATTTCAATAGCAATTTGGATGGCCAAGCTCTTAAGCTGTCTCAAAAACAGCAAGGATGTGAACACAAAACAAAAAGGAGTATGCAAATAGAAACTGACGGGGTGGCTGAAGAACTTAATGAGAGTGAATCTGAGCAGAAAACTGTGGAAATTGAGAGAGCATATGCTTCAGAAGAATCTTCATTTCAGGCAGTAGAAGTGCAAGCAGTCAGTCAGAATAAAACAAGCAAGAAACTTGGCTACCAAAAAAGGAAAGAAAATATGAGCATGAACAAATTAAATGCAATAAAAGAAATAACTAATGATGATAATGACCAGGAGCAAGCTAATGAAGAGGAGTACTTTGATGATAGTACTGAAGAGAGGTTTTATAACCAGTCATCAGATTCTGACAGTGACAGCAATGATGATTTCTTCATTGGCAAAGTAAAAAGAAAGAAAAAGATAGCAGAAAAAAATACTGATCTTCCTTCAGCAAAAGAAGAGGATAGACTTCAGAAAAACATAGTGAAGAAAGAAACGAACACAGCACAAGATTTGATCATGGAAGAAGGAAAGACACACGCAAAAGGAAGCAAGCTAGAATCAATGTTCTGCAGTTCTTTGTCTACCTCTAATCAGAAATCTCAAAGTAGAAGAAGGTAAACCTTTCCCCCTTGTTATGTTTTCCATTCCCTCCCTCTCAGTAGCTGAAATTGTTGTGATTTTTAGTAGCCCTTACCAAATAAGAATTACAGCCAATTACACCTTAGAACATTTTTACATAAGCTACTCTGAAGTTTTCTTGTGCTTTCCTGACACTTAAGTGTTTTTCATATTCTCATTAGCAGTGACATATACATAGGATTCCTAACTAGACCTTCATACAAATGTAATCACTGATTAATACTCCTATTTTTACTTCTTTGTTAACAAGTAGGAAACAATATATAAGGGTTTTTGCACATTAGGCTTGAAAAGTCATTGCATGCGTGTTTTGTTGATGACAATTCTTTATTCACAGATGTTTGTCATCTTACAAGTTTATTGAAAAATCCTAAATTCTCTTTTTGTTTCTAGAAATACTAAAGACCGGTCTCTCAAAAATGGAAGAACAGGTATGTATTACTTAACCTGGCAAGTGATAATAGTAAAAACATCTTAAGATTTTGTTGCCTCTGCAGTATAATCATGATATGCTGGTTTTTGTTTCATTTTGTGGCACATATTTTAACATTTGTTGTTAAAATGGCCAAATTGCTGAGCTTTCATTTTAATCTGTGGATATTGTTTGCTATTTCCTATTTTTTAATATTAGAAATACTTTTAATATTAGAAATACTTTAGTGCTTTTCTGTCTGTCTTCATGTTGAGCAGTTAGTGTTACCTATGTGCAAGTAAGGGTGTCAAATTATTATATTTGACAAGTAGTTTAGCTTGTGAGTAATTCCTTCAATAGCTCCTGCGATGTTTTATTCCATTTTTAGTGTATGGTTCCATTTTGGAATTCATTGGATCAAGGGTATGATTTCTGTCATACTGAGTTACATTGTGTAATATCTCATTGGTTACTTGTGAAGAAAAAAGTTGAGATTTTGCTGAGTATTTGTCTACACAAATTTTGCATGTGGCCAGTAATAGTACATATTAACTATCTGCAGTCTACCAAGTGACAATTTACTGGATTGCAAGATGAGAAAATCTTGCTGTGAACGTTCAGATGAATGTGTTCCCCATGGCTCATTAAGAAATTCTTGAAAATACCTGGAATCCCAAGGCAGTTTTAGCATACTTTTATGAAGGTTTGTGATGTAGTTAACATTTTATTTTGTACTTCTTGCACAGCTCTTCTTAAAAAGGAACCACAGCTCAAGAAGCAACCATTTGCAAAAACTGCAGGTATTAAAAGCGACATTAAAAAAGCGTGTTTGGAGCAGCCTCTTCATCCTTCATGGGAAGCAAGCAGGAGACGCCGGGAACAAATGTCTCAAATTACAGCATTCCAAGGGAAAAAAATTAAATTTGATGACTAGACTATATGTAAATTGAGTTTTTTAAAAAAAGATTCCTGCAGATTTGCATTCTGTGGTATTTTCTTGTAAAGTAACTGCTGTTTGAATATTTTTGTTACACTGTCCTTATGCTTTGCAACCTATAAAATAGCAACTGCTAGAACTTACCATCTGTTAATAATGAAGATTGCTTCATTTATTCAACGTGCTGTCTGTTAATTACTGTATGTTTATATGGTGTTGGTTCGTAAGTCCCATTACATAGTGCCACCATTTATGAAATACACCCTGACATGAATGAATGGTTTTTAGGAGTATCATTTGGGTCCTGTAGGAATAGTACAGATTCTTTGGAGCTTTTTTTTTCTTTTGTGTAAAAATACACTCTAAAATATTTGAGGACTTGGGTGTCAAGAGAGAGGGGAGGATATATAATACTGAGGTGATAATTTGTGTATTATCAAATACATCTCAACTGAGAAAAAGTAAGAAATTCTTAAACTTGAACAGACTTCACAAATTCATGAATGTATCAGGTAGCTGGAAAAGTGATCAGTAATATGCATGGTATGAAAATTTATGGAGAGCAATAAAATGTTGGCCTGCTAAATGGTTATCTCTGTCTTTTGATTACACTGCTGATTTGAAGAACTGAAAGATTGTCTTTAATACTGTTGTCCTTGTGGATCTGTCTAGGTACTCCAACATACCTGCCTTGCATTTTCTGAAAGAATGCTGAAAAGCAGGAAGGTCTTTGTACACTGAGAAACATTTGACTTTTAAGTACCATTATGAGTTTGGGAGTTCATTTGATTGGGATATGAGGTAAAATCTTAATTGTATTTTTCTTCAGGGGCTTTTCTTACTGCTTAATTGAAACAAGTTCTGAATTTGTAATTAGTCTTTAACTGTGTTGTTTATTTAAAGATAGTTATGTTTTGTAATTTTGTATCCTTCATAATCAAATTAATTCAGAAACTTAGTAAATTACTGCAGTGGGTATAAGCTAATATACTGTACAATTCATGTAGCATTTTGTAATACCTACAAATGGCATCAGACCAAAGGTCCATCTAGTATTGTATCTTCAACAGTAGTCAAAAAGGGATGCTTTAAGCATAGGGATAGAGGAAGCACACAGTGTCACATCATCCAACTTCCAACCTGTTCTATAGCTCAGGGACATCTTGTGATATTGTAGTTTATTGTATTTAATAGTCCTTAGTGGATTTCTTTTCTACAGATCTGTCTGCTCTTAAATCTGTGTAAACTTGTGGAATCTGTAATCCCTTAAGTAGTAGAAGTCTTTCTTATGTATTACACTCTTAAGAAAAACAGTATTTTTCAATGTCTCGGCAAAGAAGGCCTGCAGCCTCTTGGGCTGCATTAGAAAGAGT